AGACTAGAGATCTTTTAAATTTTTTAAAAATTTTATTTTATTTTATTGGTACATTTTAGGTATACAATATAATGACATTCATCATTGGAAATTTGTACCTTTACATAATATCTCGTTTCTTATTTTTCCCCCTTCCCCTACCCTCCCTTCAACCCCTCCATCCCTTCCTATTTACAAAGACTTTGTTTCCATTTTTTCATTTTCTCATATTAATTACAGATTAGAGATCTTGATTAGGTCAAATGATTGTTGGAACTGGGGTAGTAGAGAGAATATTATATAATATTCAGATTCAGATTTTGGAAAAATTATAGATACTGGAAATTATAAGATCTAGGATTAAATCATGGGATGAATATCTGAGGTATGATAGCAATCAAGATCATTAGAAGAAAGGAATTTTTTAAAAATGAATAACCAAGATGTCAGAAGGATTTGCTAGACATATATTGAAACTGCTAAGAATCAGGAGTGGTGTTGGAGTGAGCAACAGGTGGTCTGTAAGTCAGGTGGTCTATAAGTGTTAGCAACTATGAGATATGGCATGAATTGGTGACCTTAGGTTCACAGAATATGGTACACTACTCTATGCCTTGACATAGTGGTATAAAAGCTGAGGGGAATAGTTTTTACTTTAGCGAGACCCAGAAAAAAACCAATGCTCTTAGGGGAATATTATATTTCTGTTACAGAAAAAAAAGAAGAGGCAGAGAATACAGGGGATGTCTCTCAGGATGGACTATGAATTCCAAAAGGCACAGTGAAAGTCTTTCAGAACCTGGGATAGGTGGGAGAAAGGAGAGTATGTAGAAATTTTTTGGGAATTAGTGGGAGGAAGAGGTTTGACCTAGAAATCTAGCACTTCTTGTGGTTTCTTGCATAAATAAGGATAAAGCTAAAATGTGATTAGTCTTCATGGACTTAAGGCAGAGACTGGTGGTCAGCAATGTTGGTGGGTAGTCACCTGTCAATGGGAAAAAGGCCTGAAGAGCTATGGTCTTAGCCTTAAACTTGGGACACTATCTTGAGCCTGCTGAGAGGGGAGGATATGGGGGAAGCAAGTTGCTACTCTAAGCACAAAGGTCGTATCTTAATACTTGTCAATGAAGAAGAGGGAATCTGTGGACCTATGATTATAATTCTAGTATGTTAAGATCACTCCTGGCTCCTGTTGATAGAAAGGTGGACTAATTATGAATGCATTATTAATTATGTCAATTCTTGTTGACAAAGTAGAAGGTCTAGAGAAGCTAGGTATTGCTTTCTGTTCATGGGTTCCTTTCCTGACCAGTTATATATTGATGCCTGGGTCCAGCCCATGCAAATTACATCAGAATCTTTACAAAGGTGGGACCCAAGCAGCAGTATTTTTTATTTACACTGCACAGTGATTTTAATGTCCTGTCAAGACTGAAAACCACTGTTTTATCAAGTTACTCCTGCTCACACACAATTATATCCCCTTAAAGTTTCCTCTTTGTGAGGACAATTTTGCCTGCAACTTTGAATGCCATTCAGTTTAATTACCAAGAGTTGGTGAGTGCCTGTGAGGTACTGTGGACCCTTGACTTACAAACTCAATTTGTTCCCAAGGGCCAGTTGTAACTCAAGTTGGTCAACTGAAGGCTCACACTCCTCTACAGAGCCTTCAGATTCTCTCCTGTACACAGGCAGATCTCAGTGTCCTTAGAGAGACATTGGCCCAGGATTTCTCAATTAACCCCACACAGAAAGGCATGTTGTAATCTTCCTTCCAGAACTCTTTAAGGGTCAAATCTGTATCTGAGTCCATCTGGAAGCACAAGCAGCCGGCATTCGGGTCATAACTCAAGACTTTGGTCATAAGTTAAAACTAAAATTCCATAACCCAAAATGTTTGTATGTCAGGCCGGTCATTACTCAAGGGTTCACTGTATAAGGATCTTTGCTAGTTATGATAATCGTAATGGAAAACCTTAAACCAGATATGATCCACGCTTTAAGGAACTCAGAATATAGTAGAAGGGTTAAAGTATTACGCTAAAATACAAAAAGGCATAATGAAGGATATGAAGAAAATACAAACAAAATGGTATAGGAACTCAGATTATGAAAAAATTAATTCTTCTTGCAAATATTTCAGTGAACATATAATTTTGAAACTCAGATACTATTGAAAAAAAATTGGAAAGTAAATAAAACTAACGTATTTACATCTTACCTGGAAGTACGAGTAAGCTCAATAATTTTTTGCCTTTTCAAATCAGCATCATGTACAGCTGCTTCACATTTTTCTTCCATCTTTCTCAACTTTTCAGCTGAACTTTCCCTTTGTTTTTGAAGTTCTTGTTCCAGCTTTGATACCTTGTAAAGCAGTTTTTAGTCAGTATTTTAAATTCAATCACAGCTAAACATTTCCAAGAAAAAATTTTTTAAATATGTACCCTACCATATCATTCAGTTTCAAGTTTTTCTATAAAAATCCAAGTAAACCAGGCATTGTGGCACACGGCTGTAATCCCAGCACTGGGAGGCTGAGGCAGGAGGACTGCCATGAGTTTGAGGCTAGCTTATGCAACACAGTGAGATCTTATCTCAAAAAACAAACAAAAATCCAAGTAAGCCAGGACCTGTGGTCTCAGCTACTCGGGATGCTGAGGCAGGAGAAATGCTTAAACCCAGGAGTTCAAGGCCAGCTGGGCAATATAGTGAGACCCCTTATCTCAAAATCAAAGTATAGTCTAGGAAGCAATGTTTTGAATATATAAAAGCAAAACATACTTTTTAATAATAAAGATATTTCGAGGGCCAAGGATTTAGCTCAGTGGTTCCGCTGCCTGCCTCACAAGTGCAAGGACCAGAGTTCAATCCCTGGTACCAAAAAAAAAAAAAAGAGGATGCCCTCAATATGCATCCACTTAGCTATAAATGACTCCA